TCGCGGGATTTTCGCAAGTGGGTCGCGTGTGGCTCGCGGGTGGCTCGCGGGTGGGTCGCGGTGTGGGTGTCTCGCGGGTGTGTCGCGGTTGGGTCGCGAATGGGACGAAGACAACAACACCGACACCACCACCAACACCACCACCAACAACAACAACAACAACCAATGACAACTGCTCGCTCTTATCTGCTCGCGTGCCAGTCAACACGTGTACCCGCAACCCTCGATACCCGCCCCTGTCGTCTTCGATCGTACCCCCCCTTGGAGATACATCCTCCCAACCTGCCGCGTGTAGCTGGCACAACCAAGAAAAACAAAGAAAGGAAGGGAGGAGGGAAGAGACAAGGGGGAGGGAGAAGGATGGATCACGAGGGAGACTCGTAGGAAGCTTAAGAGCAGGAGTCTGAGAGGCAAACCAACGCGAGTCGGGTGGGCGGGCCCTGACAGGCAGGTCGGGCGGGCGGGCCCGGACGACCAAGTCGAGCGGGCGGGGGGCTGAAGCGTCAATCCGTCATAAAGGAAATTTCGAACGATAGCGCGATTCCCAAGTACACCGTTAGGAAATCAAAAGCGACAGCGTGATTCTTAAGTCTTGGGGGCACGGCGCCGCAATAAGTTGCGATGTCGCACTGCGCGAGAGCGCGACTCCTACAGGAAATGTGAAGAGTACAGGTGGGAGCCGTTGTTGCTGTTGTAACCTAGGGGTCACTGGGCCAGTTTTAAAACCAAGACTTCCCCTCAAAACAACAGGGCGCAAGCCCCAGGATGAGCACTCGGGCAGTGGGGATCAGCAATCACTTCTTCAAACATGGGAGTTCAACGCAGCAGCAATCCGCACCGCGGAAGCCTGCTTCAGACACGGACCCAGGGACAGTGAATGCCATGGGGCGCACAGGGACATACTAATACTATATGTCCTCCTTGGAGGCGCGCGTCCGACCCGAACATGCAGTATACCCATCTTGTAGTATATCGTTTCCCGAGCGGTGCGGCCAGAAAGCGCCCGCCACGACGCGTGTACTGCAAGATTTCTCGGTGATCGCGTCGCCCTTGAGGGGGCGACGCACATACAATATAAGTACACGTCGTTCATTTCTAACCGTGCTCATTGCTAATTGTGCTCGTTTCCTATTGTTCCTGGCCCCCTGGTGGCCAGGAGCAGGCCCAGGATAGAACCGTTAGAAAGGAAAGGATCCTGCCCTCCCCCCAGATATCAAAGAACTCGCAGAATTATACATGAACGATGTGCACTCCAGATTTCGTAATAAAGGGAGGGGGGTCTCATTTCGGGGGGGGGTCTCTTCCAGGCCATCGTGGAGGGCCTGGGGGGGTCTGGGGACGATGTTTTGGAGGGTTCTCCCACGGGGGGGGGTCTAAAACTTCTCGTCTGGGAGGGTTGAGACCCCCTCCCTTTTATTACGAGATCTGGAGTATGTTGGGGTGGCGCCGACGACAGCTCGGCCCCCGCACTGTGGCTTGTTACCGCGTCTCGTGTCCCTCCCCACCCCCACCCAGGGAGGCCCCCGCGACGGGAGCGAGCAGGGCATCCGAGCGCCACGCGGCATGCCAGGCTTCGCGCCCCCTCTCGTCCCTCCAGGGAGGCCCCGCCACAGCTGGCGGGGTACTCGAGAGCCTTATTCTTATTGCTATTATGATTGGTATTACGATTCTCATTCTGATTATTATGAGTAGCGCTCGTATTATTATGTTTCGTATCATTGATAACATTACTATCATTATTATCATTATGATTATTGTTCTAGTATTATTATTCTTGTATACCGGGTGTTGCGCCTTGCCACATATCCAGAGGGGCCCCGCCAGACTGGGATTCAACTGCCAGTCTACTCTCAAGGTTTCGTGCCCCTTCCTCCCCTCCAGGGAGGCCCCGCCCGAGCGGGGGCATGGCATCCGAATACCATACAATTGTACAAGGTCATGGCCCGGTCCACCCCATCCAGGGAGGCCCCGTCACAGCGGGCAAGGAGTTCGAACACAATCTGCTTTGCCAACGTTCGTCACCCTCCCACCCTTCCGGGCTTGCCCCGCCAGACCGGGCACGGTACCCGAATATCGTGCTACCCATACCCCCCGCAAGTGGGGATAGGACTACGGTTAAGTCGGGCCTGTCCCCCTACAGGGGGATTTTCGACGAAAAATAAAAAAATACAAAAAATACGCCAAAAACAATCTGGGGACTATTTTTCAAACTATTTATATGTCATTTTTGGGCACTTTGGGTTAAAAACAAATCGTCGAAAATCCCCCTGTACGGGGACGGGCCCGACTTACGACGGCGGGGCTGCTGTGGCCTCGGGCGGCGCGCCGGGAACTCACCAACAGAGAAGAGCCCCGCGGCCGGCGCCGATCTGGAAGTGTTGCGCACGCATGTCTGCGCTCCTCCTCCTCCTCCTCCTCCTCCTCCTCCTCCTCCTTCCTCCTCCTCCTCCTCCCTCTCCTCCTCCTCTCCTCCTCCTCCTCCTCCTCCTCCTCCTCCTCCTCCTCCTCCTCCTCCTCCTCCTCCTCCTCCTCCTCCTCCTCCTCCTCCTCCTCCTCCTCCTCCTCCTCCTCTCCTCCTCCTCCTCCTCCTCCTCCTCCTCCTCCTCCTCCTCCTCCTCCTCCTCCTCCTCCTCCTCCTCCTCCTCCTCCTCCTCCTCCTCCTCCTGCTGCTCCTCTCTTCCCCCTCAAGACTGGCGCTGCCAGTGGGCCCTGCACGACGCCGCGGCCCCACCCCCCCGGACGTGGTACTGGCAAAAGATCCACGGATCACTCCACGAAGAGGTGCCCACCGCAGGCGCCGGACTGCTCCCCCCCACCTCCGATGCTATGCGACGCTGCGCTCCCCCGAGGCCGGGACTATAGCGCCACCCTTGGGCTCGGGCGCCCTGGCTACGGGCTCCCCCACGACTCGGGGATGGGCAGACCTCCCTTTCGTAAAACGTGGCTCAGTGAAAACGACCTGAGGCCCAAACCTGGCGGGCGCAAGCCTGGAAAATCACGGCCGCGGCGCCCTCTCGAAAACCGAAAACGGACAATTCACTTATCGACGTGTCACTCTTGGGGGTTCTGTCCTCCTCCTCCTCCTCCTCCTCCTCCTCCTCCTCCTCCTCCTCCTCCTCATCCTCCTCCTCCTCCTCCCCTCCTCCTCCTCCTCCCTCCTCCTCCTCCTCCTCCTCCTCCTCCTCTCTCCTCCTCCCTCCTCCTCCTCCTCCTCCTCCTCCTCCTCCTCCTCCCCCTCCTCCTCCACCTCCCTCCCTCTCCTCCTCCTCCTCCCTCTCCTCCTCCTCCTCCTCCTCCTCCTCTCCTCCTCCTCCTCCTCCTCCTCCGCCTCCTCCTCCTCCTCCTCCTCCTTCCTCCTCCTCCTCCTCCCCCTCCTCCTCCTCCTCCTCCTCCTCCTCCTCCTCCTCCTCCTCCTCCTCCTGCTGCTCCTCTCTTCCCCCTCAAGACTGGCGCTGCCAGTGGGCCCTGCACGACGCCGCGGCCCCACCCCCCCGGACGTGGCACTGGCAAAAGATCCACGGATCACTCCACGAAGAGGTGCCCACCGCAGGCGCCGGACTGCTCCCCCCCACCTCCGATGCTATGCGACGCTGCGCTCCCCCGAGGCCGGGACTATAGCGCCACCCTTGGGCTCGGGCGCCCTGGCTACGGGCTCCCCCACGACTCGGGGATGGGCAGACCTCCCTTTCGTAAAACGTGGCTCAGTGAAAACGACCTGAGGCCCAAACCTGGCGGGCGCAAGCCTGGAAAATCACGGCCGCGGCGCCCTCTCGAAAACCGAAAACGGACAATTCACTTATCGACGTGTCACTCTTGGGGGTTCTGTCCTCCTCCTCCTCCTCCTCCTCCTCCTCCTCCTCTCCTCCTCCTCCTCTCCCATCTCCTCCTCCTCCTCCCTCCTCCCTCCCTCCTCCTCCTCCTCCTCCTCCTCCTCCTCCTCCCCCTCCTCCTCCTCCTCCTCCTCCTCCCCCTCTCCTCCTCCTCCTCCCTCTCCTCCTTCCTCCTCCTCCTCCTCCTCCTCCTCCTCCTCCTCTCCTCCTCCTCCTCCTCCTCCTCCTCCTCCTCTCCTCCTCCCTCCTCCTCCTCCTCCTCCTCCTCCTCCTCCTCCGCCTCCTCCTCCTCCTCCTCCTCCCCCTCCTCACCCCCGAGCGACGCCGCGGGGGCCCCACGCGAGGGGGGCGCCCGGGGCCCGCTCTCCCCCGGGGCCCCGCCCCCCCGCCGACGGGGGCCAGCCCCGGGCCCCGCGGCGGCGGGCCCCCGCGACGTCGCGGGCACCCCGCGGCTCCATGGGCCACCGCGCGTGCGCGTGGGCCCTCTGGGCCGGGCCCCGCCAGCCCCCCCCCGGGCCAGAGAGAAGAGGAAGAAGAAGAAGAAGAAGAAGACGAATACTAATAAGAAGAATAATAAGGATAATAATAAGAATAATAACAACAATAATAATAACAAGAATAATAATAATATTAATAATAATAATAATAACAACAAGAATAATAAGAAGAGGAATAAGAGTAATAATACTAACAAAAAGAAGAACAAGAAGAAGTAGAGGAAGAAAAACACGACGACGTCTGCCTGCCCCAAAGCAGCCAACGCGCGCACGACCTAGAGAGTACTCGTGTGAGCGGAAGCTCCTCGCTCCGACTTGCAAGGCTTCGCGCCCCTCCGAGACTCCCACACTCCCTCCCGCCCCGAGCCCAGAGATGGCGTAGGGGGAGGGACAACCCTTCCAAAGAAAATCGTTTAAACGAGCAATCCTCCCTTAACTAGTAACATCTAAGGGTGGGATTCGGAGAAGGACAGAAGTGATTCCTGAACAGCCGTCCTCTTCCCCCCTGCTGTTCCCCCTCCTTGCCTTCGTCTGCCCGTCCATGCGTATGTACTCTTGCGATGAGCTCCTAGTCAGCTTGCGACTAACATGCACACTGATACGGAGAAGCCCTGCTAAACCTAATGTGGGGAACCCCGATAGCATGATTAATCAGCGTTGTCTTCTTCGAATCCTGTCGAAGAAATCGTGGAGCAGGTCGTCCCTCTGGTACTCGTCGGGTATGCCGTCCACCAACACCGTGTTGGCCCGCACCCGGTCCATCTCGCGGAGCCACTTGAAGCGCAGCTGCAAGAACTCCGACTGTGCGGCGCAGATCTTCTTGTGGACGAGCACACAGACCATCCACACCACGACCGAGTAGGGGTAGTATAGCCAGCTCCCGTACTCTACGTTGCCGAAGGACAGAAGGCTCATGTTGTCTCCGTCCGCCGCGTTCCCTCCGAACAGGAGGTTGCAGGTGCCCCCGATGCAAATCATTGGTATGCCGATCCACGCCATCATGGTCATGCCCAGGTCGCAAAACCTCAGCAACATTGCCCTGTCGAGGCCCACGTGGTTGGCGACCTCCTCCAAGTTAAGCTTGTACGTGGTCGACACCCACCCGTTGAAGGAGTCGTCGGGCACTGGCAGCGAGCCCAGCGCGAAGCCTGGAAGCACGTTCTTGCTGTAGACCAGCGGGTATCGCCTGCGAGCAATGCTGAAGCCCGTATACATGACTCCGATCAAGATGATGTACATAAGGGAGGTCTCAAGAAAGTCCGTGAGGTCGCCAGCCGCGTTCACCGTAACGCCAGTGGGGCTCTCCGTCGTCGTCGTCCCCAGGCTCATCTCCGCGAGGGCAGCGGGGCTCGCCGCAGCCGCGGCCGCGGCCGCCGAGGGGGCGCCCCGCCGCGCCAGCGCCTGGCGCTGCCTCCTTCGGAGCAGGGCGAGTTGAAACAACGGCAGCTCGAAATCGGCCCCGGGAGCCCCCCTGGGGTGCAAACGCACCAGTTCCCCGATCTGCGTCTGGCCCTGTGGCGACAACGGGGGGCTCCCGAAGGCCAACCACACAGGTGCCTCGACTCGCCCTCCTCCGGCTCCTCGCCGAGCGCTGCCGCTGCGCGGCGGTGGGGCGGCGCCGCCGCGCCCAGCGGGCGCCGCTGGCAGGCGCGCCCGGCCGAGGAGCACCGCGGCTGGCGGCCGCGTCGCCGGCGGGCGCGCCAGGAGTGGCCCGCGCAGCTCTGCCGCCGTGCGGCTCGGCCGCCTGCCCGTGGTCGGCGCGGCGGCGCGCGGGCGACGCCCTGCTCATGCGCAGCTCGGACTGCAGCAGCCTCACCGGCATCAGCGCCTCGGCCTCGCAGGCGGCGGGCTCGTGCGGGTCGGAGGTGCCGTTGGCGCAGCCCGGCGCGTGGGCGCCGCTGCGGCCCGCAGCGGCGAGCACGGCGAGGCCCCCGAGAACCAGGGCTGCGCGCGCCGCCGCCATCGCGGCGCAAAAATGAAGGATTCGGAGCGGGGCGTACTGCGCTTGGTGCGCTGGGGCATGCCACGATTGCTCGAGGCTGTGAAAAAGGCTACCGGCACACACGCAGCAGGAGCAAAAACGCCCTATGACATAGAGCAGTGAGACGGCACGACACACACAGACGCAGGCACACACACACACAAACACACGCGCACACACACACACACGCACACACACACACGCACACACACACACACACACACACACACACACACACACACACACACACGCAGACGCACTCGCACACGCACACGCACATACAAACACACACTCCCGCATACACAAGCGCGCAAACGCACGTACACGCACACGCGCACATGCACACCCGCGCACATAAAAGCAATAACGCAATCTCACGTGCACGCACACGCGCACATGCACACCACGCACATACACACACACACACTCGCACACGCGGACGCACACGCGGACGCACACGAACGCACATGCACCGCACACGCGCGCGACCAGACGCAGGCGAGCCTGACTTCACGCATCCAGCCCGCCCACACGAGCACAGGGGCGGACCCCACCCCGCCGTCGCCTCTGGTGCCACTGCCCGGCCCGCCATTGGAACCCCCTCTCGCGAGCCCGCGGGCGCGCTGCTGGGCGGAGGGAGCACTCGCGCGGCCAAGCTGCTGGCCGAGCCGGTGCGCGGCGAACGGGAGGTATAGGAGGAAGGGCGGCGGAGACGAGAGGAAAGTGGAATCGGGGGCGGAACGGCGGGGGAGGCGCATGGGCACCGACGGGGGCAGGGGTAGGGGCAGAGACGAGACCAAGGACGGGGATAGGGAAACGGAGGCACACAGGGGAGGGCAAGTGAGGGAAGGGTGTGGAGAGGCAGGGAACCTAGAAGCATAGAGATGGGGGGGGGAAGGAGGAGGAGGAGGAGGAGGAGAAGGAGGAGGAGGAGGAGGAGGAGGAGCGGAGGGAGAACGAGGAAGGCGGAGGGGAGCGGGCAGGGGCAGGTGGAGGCACAAGCATGGCCGAGAGGACGAGAACCCCAGACGACGAGGACGCCCAGGGCCGAGTGGCAGGACGGGGACCCCGACGTTGCCGACGGCGACGACACCGACGCGGCGAAGTCTCTGGGCGGGCGCGAGCGCGCGAGCGGCGCCCCGCGGGGCTTCGCCTGCACGGTCCAGGGGCTCTGGGCGAGTGTGACCTTCCGCGCGCGCCCTCCTAAGGGGGGCTCGCTGGGGCCTGTTCGCGCAAGCCGCTGCTGCCGCACGCCAGCAGCGGTCGGAGGGCAGTGTGGGCCAACACCAAAGATCGCTCCGGCGAAGGGCCACTCTTGCAGCGGAGGCCGGTCCACAAGAAACCTTCCACAAAAAAAACCTAACCCTGACATCCCAGGGCGTTCATTCACTCTTGTTGCGGGAACGTCACGCAAAACCATCGCAAAAACCATCGGCAACCATCGCAAGACCAACGAAATCCAAGAAACCCAGGGCACCCTGGAGGCAAGCAGGGTGCTTCTTGGCATGGGCCTCCACTGGAGCAGGGACCGACAGTCCCAGCATTCCTATAGCCTACCACGACATGTTCCCTGAACCCCAGAATGTTCTCATAACAAAAGCACACAAAAAGCACGACGGCCCCAGCCAGAAATGCTCTGAGAACATGTTGCGCAGACCACCACATGGCTCTTGGAAACATTCTCTGGGAGGCCTACATTCAAAACGTATATTAAGGACGCGCGGTAAGGACGCAAGACCCTTGGAGGCTGAAGCTGGGATTTTTTGGGGGCGGCGGCGGCCAGTGAAAACGGCAAAAAACGGGCCACAGAGGCAAGGGCGCAAAGGGCATCCTAGATGAAGGCGCGCGTCCTTGCTAGGCGCATGAGATCCGCGAGCCGAGACGCTTCGAGCGAGCGAGCCGAGCGACTGATCCAGCGAGCCGAGACGCTTCGCCACTGCCTGCTCCGCTGCGCGCGTCCTGCGAGGAGGAGGAGGAGGAGGAGGAGTAGGAGGAGGAGGAGGAGGAGGAGGAGGAGAAGGAGGAGGAGGAGGGAAGGAGGAGGAGGAGGAGGAGAGGAGGAGGAGAAGGGAGGAGAGATGAGGAGGAGGGGAGGGCGCGCGCTGGAGGCGCCCCGCCCCCAGGCGCGACGGGCCGCCCGCCTCAGGCGGGCCACGGGCCGCCCGCCTCCGCGCGCGCGCCGCGGGCCGGGGAACGAGCGTCTCCGCTGCAGTCCGCCTCCTCCTCTCCTCCCCTCCTCCTCCTCCTCCTCATCCTCCTCCTCCTCCTCCTCCTCCTCCTCCTCCTCCTCCTCCCCCTCCTCCTCCTCCTCCTCCTCCTTCCTCCTCCTCCTCCTCCTCTCCTCCTCCTCCTCCTCCTCTCCTCCTCCTCCTCCTCCTCCTCCTCCTCCTCCTCCTCCTCCTCCTCCTCCCTCCTCCTCCTCCGTAGCCATTTTGGCTCAAGCTGGCCTCACTGGTCAGGTCCAGCGAGTTGGGGCCCAAGCTTGCACCCTCGGGCTTCCAGGAAGCCCCAGTCTCCCAAGATTCCTTCTTTCAGCTGCATGCGCCTGCAGCCCACAGTTCCCTTTCTGCTCCTTGTCTGGGCAGTGCTGGTGACAGGGCGATGGCAAAATCTGGGAGGAAAAAAGGAGGATCAGTTCAGCCACAACGTCGTGAGTACTTCGTCTGCAATTATCCGCAGTGCACCGGATGGGGCTGGTGCGACCAGAGCAGGTACTGCAACAAATGTGGCCAAAAGTTTCAAGGGCGAGGCAAAGGACGACCCCGCCAGCAGGTGCAAATCGATGGAGCAAGCATGCAGCTAAGGGCATTCGGGGGAATGACAAACAGCAAGCAGTTCATGCCGACGCCGACGCCCAGTCAGATACACAGACATCCACGTCAGCTACGCCAATGCCCGACGTTGCAACATACCAGGACCTTGTCCAGCTCTGGAAGGAGCACGAGGGCGTCGGAGGAACAAACTACGAGGCAGCCGTGCAACACCTCAAGGCCGCCAAGCAGACCGTGCTCAAGCAAAAAAGCTCGACCAGCAAGCTCAATCGTTGCGGGGCCAGATCGAGCGCACCAAGGAGCGCATTCAGAAGTCAGGGTCAGAGTCCGTCGAGAAGCTTGAGAAGCTCACAGTTTTGGCAGAAGAATATGCAGAACTCCAGTCGACAAACTCCACGCTGCGCGAGGAGGTGCAGCAGTTGGAGGCTCAGCATGCAGCCACAGTTCATTCAGCGGCAGCGGCAGTACCACACCCGAGCAACCAGGTACCGTTCCCGAAGCTCAACCAGTTCATGGAGCAGCTGGCAGTAGGACCTGTCTCAGACGTACCGCTGCACATCCAGGAGCAGGTCCACACGCTCGAGAAGAGTATCCAGGCGGCAGTCCAGGCGAAGGTCCAGCAGAGCCCAGAGGTGCAAGTGGAGGCTACTGCTGGGGCAGGCGCTGGAGTCAGCGCGCATCCTGCAGCGCAGGCACAGCAGGCGCAGCCGCCTGCGCAGCCAGCGCTGCATGAGCCCCAGCAAACCGCAGCACCATCGCCAGAAGGGTTCCCAAAGATCGGAGAGACGGAGGAACAAGCGCAGAACACCAACGCCATGGACGACAAGCCGAACGACGTCTCAGCAGCGCAGAAGCGCCTCGCCAGTGAGACGGACGCGCTGCAGCAGGTGCTGAGGTCGATCCCAATCCAGTCCACAGATCAGGAGGCCAAGAAGGCCAGGGCGGCGCTATTGCAGGCGCAGGCCGCAGCAAAAGCCAACGGGAAGGGGGCGCCGACGCAGAAGAGTCCGTATGGTGTGTAACGGCAGCCAGTCCCGAACCCGTAACGCTGTCACAATCAATGGCAGCTGCTGGGCATCAGTCCAGCAATACGTACAAGCAGAAGAATCCGAGAAGGTCTTTGTCATCCTTTGCCAAGAGGTGAAGCTATCAGGTGACAGACTAGAGCAGGCAATCCAGTGGTGTGAGCGACGAGGATGGAATGCCATCTTCTCCGATTGCATCCACAGCGACAGCGGGTACCCGATGTGCGGCACGGGCATCTTGATGCGCGACGGCTACAACATAAGTATCCAACCAGCTGATCTCCCCCTGTACATTTCAGCCCACCGAGCAGCAGCAGCAATCCTGGAGATCCCAGGCCACAAGCACATTTGTTTCATCGCTGCATAGTTTGAAGACTCACTGGGGCTCAGTAGTACCAATCCATACCTTCTTGCCACAGCAGGGTGGTGTCAGCAGAAGTACATGGTGCCCGTCTTCATGGGCGCAGATGTCAACGTGAACCCCTCGACGATCACAGCATCAGGAGTATGTGAACGAGCAGGCCTAGAGATGGTGTACCCAGACGGGTACACAATGTTTCAAGGTAAGGCTCGCAGCAAGATTGCTTTCTTTCTCACGAGTTCTTGTCTGAAGAGCTCGGTGCAGTCTATCAACGTGCTAGGGCAATGCCCTCTATCCCCCCCACCGACCTGTTCGCTTGGAGTTTGCGTTCGGGGCCCACGCGATGATCCCTGTGTTGCAGAAGCCCCAGCAGCCCCCCACCAGGAAGACCTTCGATCCTTCCTTGGAAGCCCGTCCCTGGACCAAAACACAGGCCGCCCTGGAGATTCTGGAACATATTCTGGAGGAGATAGGGGACCCAGCACAACAAGAAGCCGCTCTAGATAAGACGTATGAATTCATGGTTGGAGACCTGGAATGTACTAGTAGCAGAGCTACAAGGGGAACAGGGAGGGGCAGAGGTTGTCCGCCCCCAATCATTGTGAGCTCTCTACCCTCCGTCCGTCTCCCCTCCCTCCCCCCCTACTTCCTCTTCCCTACTGCCTCCCTCCTCCCTCCCCCCTCCCTCCACCCTCCCATCCACCCTTCCTCCGCCTCAGATCCCTTGGGGGAGGACGGCAGGTGAGCGGTGCGGTTGCGGTTGCGCGCCCGCGGGCGGGTTGAAATGTGTCGCCCAGTTGGGGTTGCGGTTGCGCGCCCGCGGGCGGTTTGAAATGTGTCGCCCAGTTGCGGTTGCGCGCCCGCGGGCGGGTCAAAATTTGGCGCGCAGTTGCGGTTGCGGTTGCGCTCCCGCGGGCGGGTTGAAATGTGTCGCCCAGTTGCGGTTGGGCGCCCTCGGGCGGGTCGAAATGTGTCGCCCAGTTGCGGCTGCGATTGCGCGCCCGCGGGCGGGTTGAAATGTGTCGCCCACTTGCGGTTGCGCGCCCGCGGGCGGATTGAAATGTGTCGCCCAATTGCGCGCCCGCGGGCGGGACGAAATGTGTCGCCCAATGCGGTTGCGATTGCGCGCCCGCGGGCGGGTCGAAATGTGGCGCCCAGTTGCGGTTGCGGTTGCGCTCCCGCGGGCGGGTTGAAATGTGTCGCCCAGTTGCTGTTGCTGTTGCGCGCCCGCGGGCGGGTTGAAATGTGTCGCCCACTTGCGATTGCGCGCCCGCGGGCGGGTCAAAATGTGTCGCCCACTTGCGGTTGCGGTTTCGCGCCCGCGGGCGGGTCGAAATGTGTCGCCCAGTTGCGGTTGCGGTTGCGCTCCCGCGGGCGGGTTGAAATGTGTCGCCCAGTTGCTGTTGCTGTTGCGCGCCCGCGGGCGGTTTGAAATGTGTTGTGTGCAAGGTGCCGGTTTGAAATGTGTCGCCCAGGTGCCCTCCTGACGTTCAGTCAATCAGTCAGTCAGTCAGTCAATCAGTCACCGGCGGGCACGGAATTTTACCCGGCTCCGCCAGGAGTCAGGGCCGACTCCACCCCAAAAACAACACCTGAAACTCTAAGGAGTCCAAACCGTCTGGGCGCGAACGGGCCAAGGATGACACGCCTGTCGCCCTGCCTGTGGAAGTCTTAAGGGCAATGCCCGCGCGAAGCGCTAAAGAGAGGCAAGTCCAACCGTCCGGAGACGTCATCCGACCTAAGAGGTCTTGACAATCTGGACGCGAACGGGCCCGTGATAGCACCCTGGCCGCCTTCCCCCCATTGGGAAACCCAGATGGCATGTCTGCTAGACTGTATTTGTCATTGTGCTACGAGGAGAATTAAGCATATCCCCACAGAGCGGCTATTCTACACGAGAGATCTCAGCAATCTGGGTGCGATCTGGACCGCGGTGACACCCTGATCGACTCACCCTTGGGAGGTTCGAGTGCCATGCGCACTACATCGCGATGATCATGGGATTTCTGGGAAAGGAAGAACTCCAAGGGGCCAAACGCCAATTCCGACTCCGACTGCTCTCGAGGCTCGCACGGGGTTGTCCTGTGCCGTCTTTGGGGTGATCCTCGAGGGGTCCCCTTCAGCTCTCATGGGATCCCAGGCGGGCATACTTGCGTCGCGTGAAACCGAAAAGGCGAGGAGGCCAAACCGCATCAGAAACGATAGATGTGTCACGAGCTTTGCCTCGTGGGCGTCCTGCAGGCGCCCTCTACGGCAATCGTATTGCTCTCTGGGGGCGTCCTGGGCCGTGCTGTTGGGGTCGTCGTGGGTCCGTCCAGGTCTGCCCTTGGGGCCACTTTGAGGCGACCCCGGGCCTCTCTTAAGTCGTCTTGAGCCGTCTTGGGCCCCCTGCAGGCGCCCCAGAACAAGCCAGGCCGCTCGCGAGCCACGCTGTGGCAGATCAACTTTCCATGCGGAGGGGCACTGGTAGGGAACACTAGTACAGCTACGCTGCGTATGGCTGCATACATCTGGATACGAACTCCAACTGGATCCCAACTTCAGCCAATTGAAGTCCGCTCCAGGCTGCACCGTAGCCCTGCGGCCGAACACGTCTCTGCCCCCACCCTCCGCGCGGCTCAACAGTCCCCGTCTCGAGAGAAGATCATCGAGGAACCACTTCGTTCCCCGAAGAGGGGGATGGGGAGACGAAGCGGGGCATAGCCGTTCATCAACTCTACGCAACGGCCATCCACAGCTATTTTGCTCGTTGACTTGCATGCCTCTGGTGTGCGACTGGGCGCAGTGTCGCAACGCACGAAAAACATACGTATGCATCTACGCATACACAAGATAGACAAGACTTGCAAGCAGTGCCAACGCACTGCCCTATCTTGGCGCCACGCGCGAATTTCAGTATTAGCCCAGGGTGTGCGCGGAGCGCACGGGTTGCATCTGCACGAATTGGAAGGGCAATCCGCCGACCCCTTGGGGTCACGCGGCGTGTGAAAGTGCTTCCTCCTCCCCAAGCCCCTCCCAAACCCCTCCCCCGGGAGCCGGGTCCGGCCGGTTTGGAGGGGGGGGGGGGGGGGGCAAAGGTGCCGGCCGCACCCTTGGAGCCTCCAGGGGGCTCCAAAACTGGTCAAAGGGGCCCCCAAAGGCCCTGCGGACGGTCCAAGAGGGCTACGAGTCGCCGAAAGATCGCTCCAAGACGCCCAAGATTGCCTCCAGACGGTCCAAGACGCCCCCAAGATGCCCCAAGAAGCCAGCAAGAGGAGTCCCAAGAGGCCCTCCAGAAACGCCATCGTCCCATTCCCGACGGGAAACGCACATTTTTCCCCACATGTTTTGTGGGGCTCTGGTTTTCTTCCCTGCCGCGTCGCACCCGCGTCTCACGCACACACCTCCCTCGCGGCGCTCACAGCACAGCACAGTACAGCTCAGCACTGCTCAGCTCAGCTCAGCTCAGCTCAGCTCAGATCAGCACAGCACAGCTCAGCTCAGCTCAACACAGCACAGCACAGCACAGCTCAGCTCGGCACAGTACAGCACAGCACAGCTCAGCACAGCAGAGCAGCGCAGCACAGCACAGCACAGTACAGCACAGCACAGCACTGCTCAGCACAGCTCCGCACAGCTCAGCTCAGCTCAGCACAGCACAGCACAGCTCAGCACAGCATAGCAGGAGTGGCATTTCCCGACACCGTGGGGGGTGCGCAGGGGGTGGTCCCTGAGCGCGGCCGCTATCCGAGCCCGTCGTCCAGGGCATAGCAGGAGTGGCACTTTTCCGACACCATAGGAGGTGCGTAGGGGGTGGTCCCTGAGCGCGGCCGCTATCCGAGCCGGTTGTCCAGGGCAAGGCAGGATAGCACTTTCACGACACCGTAGGGGGTGCGAAGGAGTATATCAATGGCGAGGGGGAGAGGACGAGGAAGAGGAGGAGGAGGAGGAGGAGGCTATCATCACTCCAGCCATAATAGAAGTACGTGGAGTTCCTCGGTAGCGTTATTAGCATTCGCCTCTTGGGCTTTCATTCGCGAGGCCCGGAACGGCCCAAGAAGCATTCAAGATCGACCCAAGATAGCCCAAGAGGCCCCCGAATGGACATTTCGAGCACTCGGCCCCGAAAAAACCTCAGGATGCGCCGAGAAGCCCCCAAGAGGCTCCCACGAGGCCCCCGAGAGGCCCCAAACAGGCCCCTAAAGGCTTCAGCACGGCCCCCAGGGGGCCTCAAAAGTGCTGCCAGGACAGCCCAGAGAAGCCCAAGAGCAGAGCTGCGATCCGCCAACCGCCCCCGACAAAAACCCATGAAGCTGAAACCCCAAGATTCCCCAGAAATCGCGCGCGTTCCGCACACGCCGTTTGCCACTCCCAATGCCGCCCCAAGGGGTCGGCAGTGCAGCGTCAGCCAGTGGATCTATCGTTCCCCATGTGTCGGGCTGGCCTGCGGATTCTCCCAGCTGGCGGTTCTAGGAGCTCCCCGCTCCGTTGTAGCACGTCTGAGGCACCGAGTAGTCGGCGATGGTGGGCTCCGCCGGGGCGCCCGCGGGCAGGCTTGCGGGCTCCACGGCCGCATACTGCGTGGAGGGAACACGGGCCTCGCTGTGCGCTCCCCAGGCGTAGCTGGTGGCCGGCGGCGCATAGCTCGCGCTGGGCCCCGCGGCTGCCGGCAGGTAGTTCGTTGCAGGGGGGGCGTAGCCTTACGAGAGGAGAAACAGCAGGAACATAACTTTCTGGAGGTCCGACCTGGATTTCTTGGATCCGCGCTGTTTGCATCACCCTCTCGCGCAGAGCGCGCCAGGGAGCGGCGCCAGGAGCGCAGATCCAAGAAATCGCCGCGGAGCTCCGAAAGTGCAGGAATATAGCTTATTCATCTTATCATGCGAGGGTTATTCTTTTCTCAGGACTCCCCGCGCTGCCCTCCTCACACACCCTCCTTTCATCACCACCACCATCGCCATCATCCCAAGTTTCAGCATCATCAGCATGACCATCAACAGCATCACCGTTTCCAGCATTACCAGCACCATCGTCCCCCCCACTCGTCGTCATAACCATCATCATGATCATAATCATCCGTGCGCCATGCCACGCCAGGACTTCTTTTGTGCCTTGCGCCAGACGCGTCGAGCAGGACAGAACGCCCCCCGAACAACGCTTGGCAGAAGGAAGAGGATGAACCGCGACACGGCACAATCACAGACACACACACACAATCACACACACGCGCACCACAAAACACATCATAACGCATAACGAGAGAGGAGGAGATGGAGACGCGAACCACCCCGAATGGGATTCTGGTATGAGCAGCCATTTGTATAAGCTGCCGACGCCGGCAGAATCGCAATGATGCGCTATTATGTTCTAAAGCTCGGTCGCGCAGCTTACATAACCGAAGAGGGGTAAAGGCTCAGCGGCTCGTCCACAAACTGCCCGAGCTTCGGTCACGGCCAGTTTAAACGATGTGGCGTTCGCCAAAAAAATACACGTCCCTGAGCGCCCAAGGCAATGACCCGGAAGCCTGATGTGGAAGCCCGAGCCACAGACGTGGACCCGAGTGCGCTTACGCCACCGAGCCCCGAATGTACAAAGATGAATGGTACACGCGTGGCTCTGGCCCCTGGCGGAGGAGGGCAAGCGGAGGCACTTGCCACATACAACAACCGCTGGGATTCTCGAGGGCTACAAGCACACCAACTCGACAGCACGCGCGGTCCAGTGAACGACAAACCTTCAGCTGGGGCCCCCTTTCGCACAGGCATTTCGGGCCCGCGCGTCGAAAGTCAAGAGCACTCAAACATGGGCAGGGTTTTGAAGGCAACACCAGCTGGTCCCTGGGGGCCCGTGCCCCGCCTGGGACTAGGAACAATAGGGCGTGCCCATCCAGAGACCGACGACCCCTCCGTGACCCACTCCTTCAAAATTTGTTGGACGCACGGCCTATCTAGATCAAGCCAGAGCCGGCGAAGGATGTCGACCGCAACGACCGCGAAGCCTAAGTCCTGCAAAGCCTTCGAGAGGACCCCTTGGCCCGCGAACAACTCCTGGACAAATTGTCTTCGCGAAGCGCCTTTCTCTCAACTCGGCGTGCCCTCGCCCGAATCTCACGATCGGTCAAGCGGGCCTCGCGGGGCCCCCCCGCCAGCGGCAGCGGCCCCAGCCCTGCGAACCTCGAGGACCAGGTGGAGCCTACCAGCCACGCGCCGCACGGACCACGGCGCAGCCGCCAGAGCCTTCCGTGCCGCGTCAGCATGGAGTCGCTGCGCCAACGACCCCTGGCCATGGCCTCGAGCGCCGCGCGGCCTCGGGTCAGCAGGTCACTCGAGGCGCCGCTGTGCCTGACGCCGTCGACCGTCAAGCCCGTCGCCTCGAGCCCCGGTGCCTCCGCGGAGATCTGCACCTCTGCGTTCAGGTCGGTTCGCGTAAACGACCAGACTCGCTGTTCTGGGCGCTGGCACGCGTTGACCACGGCGCGGCTGTCGCACCGGTGCCTTCGTCGACGGCGCAGGCCTCGGCGGGCTCGCCCAGCCGGCTGGGCCTGAGGAGCAGCGCCCACTGCTTCCACCCACTCCTCGCGCCCGCCACCAGCGACGCCAGCTGCGTCGCCGAGTGCGCGTCGATCTTGCCCGGTCGCAGGCAGGCGTGAAACGCCAGCAGCAGCGGCACCACACTATCAATGCCCAGCCAGCCCCCGCGACAGCATTTGCCCGACCAGCGCAGCAACCAGGAGGCCAAGGGACTGGCATCCGAGCGGTCCACGGGACCACCATGGCCCAGACGGCCAGCGCCCAGGCCGAGCGGGGCAGGCCCCAGGGCCCGCGGCGGCCGACCTCGGGGCGGGAAAACTTCACAGCTGCCAGCGTCTTGCTCGAGAACAGCTTGTCCATGTGCACGGTGAGCGCCAGGTCGAGCTCGACCGCCGAGGTCCAGCTCGCCGCAGCCTGCGCTGCCCATCTTCGGCAGGCCTGCGCGCGCCTCTAGCAATCCGCAGGCGTCGCCCTCGCCGCGGACCTCGACCCCGGGAAGGTGGGAGGGCGCGCGCCCAGGATGGGGGCCGACTCGGGCGATGGCGCGCTGCCGCAGCAGCTGTGGCGAGGCCCGCCAGCTTCATCCAGTCATCCTGCGTGGCCGCCAGCGCCTTCGCCTCGTGGGAGCGCGACCTCGCGCGGCGCGCGCGAGCCGAAGGTGGGGAAGCTGGGCGCGGCCGACAGCGCGCCATCGCGAACGGCAGCATCAGCGGCGCCCACTGCACCGTCGCCCCCCTCCCCCCCCCTGTAACTTGTCGTTGAAAAAAAGACCTCGCGAGGGTTTGTCGGCCGGGCCCCTTTTCCGACGGGGCCAGCGAACGCGCGCCGGAAGACTGCGGGCCAAGGAACGGCGCCGACTCCCTGGGGGCGCCCCGTAGCTACGCCGCGGCTGGGAAGCGGCGGAGCGCCACTTCCCCGCGGCCAGCGCCAGGCCCGGGTCGTCGACCAGGGACAGAGCACGATGCCCAAGAGCCCCTCGGCCCCGCAAGAGGTGCCGAATAGAGTGGGACAGGGCGAGACCTAGGATGCTCGATGGGCCCCGCCACGGAAAAGACCCCGCGCCGCGCCAGGCCTTGGGTCGCGTGGAGCTCGCGCCCACCGCGCCGAAGGCCTTGGCGCGCTCGGCCGCCTGCATCAGGCTGTCCGGCAAGACGTCGGGCACCGGCGCCTAGCCGGAGGGCCCCGCGTCGGCGCGGAAGGCGCGAGCCAGCGCGGCTGCAGCGCCCCGGCTGCGTCATCAGCCCGGTCGCGCGGCATCAGCGCGGGGCCTTCTCCGCATGGGCGTCGCGACGGGCGCGCAGAGCTGAGCGCCGAGGGCGACGACCTCTGGGCCATCGCGACCGTGGCGGCGTGTCCCGCGGCGATCTCCAGCACGCGGCCCGAGCCTCTGCGAAGCCGATCCTCGATGGCGAGCCAGGGCCATCGCGCGCGCCGGGAGGAGACTTCGGCTGCGCGCGCCTTGCCGTCATCTGTGGGCCCCGCGCAGTTGGCCCGCGACACTGCGCCCTCGACGCGGGCGGCGAAGCCCCGGACTGCCTGCGCCGCGGGCGCGGGCCGCCCACGCAGTTGCAGCGACCTCCGCCCCCCCCCCCGGCGCCCCCGTCGCCGAAGTCGTCGACGCGCGCCGCGGCCCGCAGAGGCCTGCTGGGACCAAGCAGCCTGCCGGGGCCAAGCGGCCCCGAGGCCAGGGCCTCTGCTGCTGGCTGACCACCGCGAACCACGCCCTCCTCCGCCATCGGCCAGCAGCGGCGAAGCGCCTTGCCCCGGCCCGTGGAAGCATCGCCATGGCAGGCGCAAAGCGGCGGCGATCGCGCCTCGCCGGCACACCGCGCCTCCACGCAGGGAGCGGGGCCGGGTGCAAGACCCCAGCTCCTCTGGCACGTCCGCGGCGTCGCGGATGACCCCGCTGCCGAACCGCGCGACGTCGCACTTGCGCGCCACCAGCTCCGCGAGCGCCGACGCCGAGGGCAGGCGCGTGGACGGGGGGCGCGGCATGAAGTCGCAGTTGGCTGGCCTCGCATCGAAGAAGATCCTTTGCTGGCCGCCCTTCTTCGTCGCGAAGAAGAGCCCAGCGGCGGCGGCGCCTCCGCCGAAGTCAGCTGCCAGCGCCAGGCGTGCCACCCGATGGCCCCAGGAGTGCAGGGCCAAGACAATAACGCAGAAGTCCAAGCTCAGACCGGGGAGCAGCCGCTGCAGCTGGGGCTCTTCGCGCGCCGGCGCGGCCAAGTCCCTCGGCCGCGCCGGGCGCTCGGTGCACGGCTGGAAGCGCGCCGCCAAATTCCCCAGGCTTCGCCCCAACGACTGGCCAAGGCGCAGCGCCATCGTTGTTGGACGCGACAGACATGAATCGGGCACGCGCCATGAATGGCGGCGCCCCCGCGAAGCTCGCGAAGGCCCCCGCGTCGGCGGAGGTCGGCCGCGCAGGCCCCAGCGTCGACGCAGCTGCGCCCCAGGCAGTCGAGGCGCAGCTGCTGCGCGGCGCTCGGAAGATCACTCCGCAATGGCCGACGCCTAGCAAGAGAGTCGAAGGATGAGACGCCGTCGCTGGTCCACTCCTCCAAGGCATGGCGACGACGAAGGACACGGCGAGCAGAAGCGGCAGCCGGCGCCTGCGGCAGGGAAGACGCCGCGCCGGCCCATCTCCACCTCGCGGCCGAAAAAGTCAAAACCAGCGCGGCCCGGGCCAAGGGCCAGCAGGCATCTCTCAAGTTGTAGAGGTACTGGAGACACTCAGCCGCCCTCCTCGCCCATCCAGCCGCTTTTGGGCTTGGCGAGCTGCCTCTGCCTCCGCGCTCTGCGCCTCTCCATGGGCGCTGCGGCTCCCCCGCGATCTGCTCGCCGATCCAGGTCGACGGCATGGGCGCCGCCGCAATCCCACGAGCGGTGAACGCGCCCGCGAAGTATAACCCTTAGATCGGGCATGTCCTCCGACAGGCGTATTTTGGAAGGACAAATGAAACGTTGGCCCGGCGAGAACCAACCATAGGCAGTTGTGAATGCCGTCTTTGCGCGCGAATGCAGTTGCTGGGGCCGTCGGAGGAATTCCCTGCGCGGCCACAAAACGCTTGACAGGTGTGCCGAAATACGCGAGGTGGGCGCATGCGAACGCATCCACAGGTGCCGTCGGTGGAGCTCCTAATGGGGCCGCGAAGCGTGCGATGGGCGCGCT